CAGAGTGCCTGCCCCTGCTCCCCCAATTAATAAAAGCTCTTACTATGAAGCAATCCTTTCAATTGCTGAAGTATGTTGGGTATACATAGTATTTGAGGTCCTGTACCTGTTGATCGACTGTTTTGTATGATTTTAAACAATTTTTTAATGGAATTCCTTTTCATGGCATCTAAATAAGCACCCTTTTTAGTTTTAAATTTGCCTAGAAACCAGAGCACTTACTATGTCAAATATGGTATGTTATATTTGGCCATTTTCTAAGTGGCATTGTGTACTCATATATTGATCTTGTTCCGTATTTTAGAATGTTTTTCTTGCTGGGTTAAAGGATCATTTGGTTTTAACACAGTCATATGTTAGTGCCAGCTATTCCAAAGTGCCAGCATGTCTGTATTTTCCATTTTATGGAGCAATAATAGCACGAGCTGTGTGAAGCAGATTGCCAAGGTCAAGTTATTGGACTGTGTCCCTGAAGACAGATGGCCTCTTGTACGTTTGTTCATCTCGATGAGTATCTTCAACCTTTGCCTTGAGCTCAGATTGATCATTCCCAAATGACACTGATTTCCTAGTACATCTGTAGATAGGATTCAGTGTCGGAACGACCTCATGTTCATAGAACACAAGTACCTCGTTTAATGGAGAAGAGTCGATTCAGTGTTGTAATGAACTCAGGTCCATAGAACACAATTAACTGTTTCATGGAAAAGAGTGTGTTCACTGAGAGTATGATCTGAGTGAGTGAGTGAGTTTAGTTTTACGCCGCACTCAGCAATATTCCATCTATATGGCGGCGGTCTGTTAATAATCGAGTCTGGACCAGACAATCCAGTGATCAACAGCATGAGCATCAATCTGCGCAATTGGGAACCAATGACATGTGTCAACCAAGCCAGCGAGCCTGACCACACGATCCCGTTAGTCACCTCTTACGACAAGCATCGGTTGCTGAAGATTCATTCTAACCTGGACCTTTACGGGTAATATGTATGAACTGAGGGTTCCTGGAACACAATTAACTGGTTCAATGGAGAAGAGTTTATTCAGTAGTATATGTTGTAGTACCCATATGTAAAGGGAGATGCAGGTTAATACATATTGTTTATATTTGTAAACGCTATGAGGCTGTTGTATGAAAATGGTAACTCAAATCACTATTGTACCACCATGTATAAAGGGCCTTATGGCCTTTATACAAAAAAATAAATAGAGATTATTAACCGTGTGTGTTTCCGTATCATTAATATCATATATTAAGAATAAAAATTGTATTATGCAAGCCTTTGGTGAGGTTAATAATCTCTTATCATATAATGTCATTCTTAAAAAAAAGAAGCAAATTGTCCATGGAATTATATGAAGAGAATCAACCATTTCGCGTAAGAATGCTTAGCGGTACACCAAGGTGAAGGTCGTTCATGACGCCACATATGGTTGTGACTAGTCGCTAATACAGTGCAAACATAACCCATGCTTAAAATAAGATCTTTCTGTCTAAAAAGAACAACAAAATTGGGCAGGGTTTTCTTGGCAGTGTTTGTATTTTCATTGCGGGTAATCACTTCATCAATATCAGTTTCTGATACCTGACGGAATCGATTCGTCGTCTTTGTTGTGATCGATAGATCAAAATCCTTGGTTGGTACCTTTCTTAGACGGTTGCCTTTCAGTCGTGCCTCATAATCCGTACCTTCAATTTGAACGAAGTTCTCCTTTTCATGTTGTCCAAAGTCAATTCCTGCAGTTATGACTCCAGAACCTCTGTCATCAATTCTACAGAATCACCAATTTTGAGAATGGGGGCAGCCATGTTTGTTTACAAACTCGTCCACGCAATGTAAACTTGCGAAGTCACCAATGAAATGTTTAACGTTTTAGGATTCGCACGGCGTGTTTGGAGTTTTGTGAAAGTAGTTGGTGGATTGACGTAATTTGCATAGTTATCAGATTTGGATATCAAGTTTATCAGATTGCTTTATTGCACCTATAACACGCTGCATTAGATGATAAACCCTTCTTCTTCTTCATTTCCTGTAATCTACCAGTCACTGCTGAAAGTCAGCACCATGACATTTCCATTATTCTGTCAAGTTCTAGTGCACCTATTGACCATGTTGAGGCAGTTGCCTGTCAAATGTCCCCCAGTTTAGTTTTATGCTGCCTTTAGCAATATCATGGCGGGGGACACCATAAATGGGCTTCACACATTGTACCCATGTGGGGAATCAAACCAGGATCTTCAGCGTGACAAGTAATTGCTTTGACCACTTGGCTACCCTACCATCCTGCATCTTCAGAACAAGTATATGCAAATGTGTCCTTCCGGTTAATGAACAAACTCCTTCCAAACGTATGGAGCAAGAAACAGTATGCACTTTTGTAAACTCTTTTTTCCCAGCACAAATATTTTTCTTTGGTTTCCATACACTAGTGAACGTTTGCTGGCAGTTTTTTCCGTAACATTTGTGGTACGTAAACACCGATCACATCAAGGTCAGGGCTGTAGACTTCCCAATATTTATATTTAATTGACTTTTGGCTAGAAACATTTGTTCACATAAAACTGATTATCTGTCCAGAGTGAATGCTAGTTTGTAAGTGTATTACAAGATTCAAATCACTTGGGACAGATAATCCATCATAATAAACAGACGTATGAAAAGTATCATTACTCCTCTTGGTGGAATTGCTATTATCAAGGCTCTACTTATTTCCAAATTGAATTATCTATTTCTGGTACTCCTTAACCCTCCTGGTCATTTCCTGAAGGAGCTGAATATGTTATATAAATTTCTTTGAAGGGGGAAACCAGACACGATTAAAAGAACTGTTATGTGTAAATCTGTGAAGGAGGGAGGTCTTGGCATGGTTGAATTTATTTCATATTTAAATTCATTGAAGCTCTCATGGATAAGAAAACTGTAGGACATCACAAACAAATCTAAATTGAAAACATTGTGTTTTACTACTTTTCCTCACAATCTAGGCATATTTGGCAGTGCTTTTCCAGCTAAAGCATTAAAAAATATCAATAACGTTGTTTGGTTTGATGCCGTCTTTGTCTGAAAATACAGCCTGAACCATTTGATGACTTTATAACAAAACCTGTCTTTTACAACAAAGACATCCCCAGATTATCTTTTATTCTAAATGGTTTGATGGAAGTATCAGCCAAGTACGAGACTTTATAAATACTGAAGGAAACTACCTATCGCTTGAGCAATTCCAATACACTTGATGTCAACTTCCTTCAGTATCAAGGGTTAATCTGCTCTATAGAGATATACCAGGATAAGTGGGAAACAAGTAAACCCACATCTTCTGCCCAACTGCATGATAATCCTGTTGCCAGGAAACTGCTATCAGTTAAGAAAGGTGCAAGGTGTTGTTGTTTTATCTTGAATGCATGTGATACTCACCTTATATTTAAATGTAGGTGGAGGAATGTGTTCTCTGTGAATCAGACTAGGAAAATATATTTGTAAAACCACTTAAGACTACTTTAGATACCAAGTTGAGATGGTTACAGTTCAGAATTATTCACAGGATCTTATCAACCAACTCATTGTTATTTAAAATTAACTTAACTGATAATAATTTATGTTCTTTTTGTCAATGTGAAGTTGAAACAATAACCCATTTATTTTTGGAGTGTAAACAAGTTCAGTACCTCTGGCAATCACTATTAAGCTTACTTTATGAACAGTGCCCACATAGCCATAACAACATTTATCCACTCATTTAAAAGTTCCCTGAAAACCCATCTTTTCAGAAAATATTACAATCTATAACTTAACTTTCCAAAACTTTCACCCTCGTTCTAGCATAACCTTTGTTTTGTAAATATTTGTAAATATGTAGCGCTTTGAGCATGCCTTATGTGTGGAATTCAGTGCATTATAAATACACATATTATTATTATTATAACAGGTATATCATTGAAAGAAATATTTCTTATAGCCAAAGTCAACAAGCTAAGTTATATACAAAGTGGATGTTGTACCATGAACTAGCTTATGTCGGTTTCAGAAGTTTAATTATCTGGATCTAATGAGTACAACCATTCTTGACTACTTAAGTATATGTTGTGAGTTACCTTTGTTAAACCTTCTTGTGGCTGATGTTAGTGAATCTGAGTGAGTGAGTGAGTGAGTGAGTGAGTGAGTGAGTGAGTGAGTGTTTATGTCAGTGTTACATAATACCCAGGGGCGGATACAGCTTTTTGAGAAAGGGGGGGGGTGCACACTATTGAGAAAGGAGGGGTGCACACTTTATTTTCACGAGAGTTTCAATGGTCATTTAATAAACTTTCAGGACAAAATGCGGGTGTCGCGCGCACCCCTGCACCCCCCTCTGGATCCGCCTATGATACCTTGATATGAACTTCAGTAACAGAACTTATTTATATAACAATTGCCTCTTCAACTCAAGGGGCAGTGGGTTAGCCTAGTGGTTAAAGCGTTCGCTCATCTCGCCGAAGGCCCGGGTTCGATTCCCCACATGGGTACAATGTGTGAATCCCATTTTCTGGTGTCCCCTGCCATGATATTGCTGGAATACTGCTAAAAGCAGCGTAGAACCCAACTCACTCACTTGATCACATACTTTGTGATCACATACTGAAAGTGTGTATTCATAGTTTGTTCATTCACACTATTCATTCAGTGTTGTAACAACCTCAGTTCCCTAGAACACATTTGATTGGTTCCGTAGTTGTTCAAGAACAAGATGAGTACATCCATTGCTTCCTCAGTAAAATTAAAAGTTGACAGTCCTGGACCAAACTGCATGAGAAGCAAAACCAAACAAAGCTCACATGGAAGCATTTTCAGATAAGAACAGATGAAGCAGATCTTTCATTACATTTCTATCTGTCAACCAGGATTCTAACTAGACAATATTCCATGCAGCAGATATAGAAAAGTCAAACCTAATACTGATAATCATATCTATTGAATATATTTTGAAGAATTTATTAATATTTTCTGGTTTCGTTTCAGTCCGGTTCCCTACGGTGCTCCGATGAACTATGACAACCCGCAGACACCCCAGTTAATGTCGCCACTCTCCCCAGCCACAACCATCTACGACCGAAGCCCAGGCTCTGTCCACAGCACACAACAGAACATGGAGGAGTAAGTTCCGCTACCTTGTTCTAGTACACTTGTGTACCTCCATGGACGCAGTGGGATAGCTCTGTGGTTTAGGCTCAGTCATCATATCCTTGATCCATAGACGTATAGCTCAGTCATCATATCCTAGATCCATAGACGTATAGCTCAGTAGTCATATCTTATATCTATAGACATATAGCTCAGTCATCATATCCTTGATCCATAGACGTATAGCTCAGTAGACATATCCTAGACCATAGACGTATAGCTCAGTCATCATATCCTAGATCCATAGACATATCCTAGATCCATAGACGTATAGTTCAGTAGTCATATCCTAGATCCATAGACGTATAGCTCAGTCATCATATCCTTGATCCAAAGACGTATAGCTCAGTCATCATATCCTAGATCTATAAACGTATAGCTCAGTCATCATATCCTAGATCCATAGACGTATAGATCAGTCATCATATCCTAGATCCATAGACGTATAGCTCAGTAGTCATATCCTAGATCTATAGACATATCCTAGATCCATAGACATATAGCTCAGTCATCATATCCTAGATCCATAGACATATCCTAGATCCATAGACGTAGAGCTCAGTCATCATATCCTTGATCCATAGACATATAGCTCAGTCATCATATCCTAGATCCATAGACATATCCTAGATCCATAGACATATAGCTCAGTCATCATATCCTTGATCCATAGACGTATAGCTCAGTAGTCATATCCTAGATCTATAGACATATAGCTCAGTCATCATATCCTAGATCCATAGACATATCCTAGATCCATAGACATATAGCTCAGTCATCATATCCTAGATCCATAGACGTATAGATCAGTCATCATATCCTAGATCCATAGACATATAGCTCAGTCATCATATCCTAGATGCAAAGACGTATAGCTCAGTCATCATATCCTAGATCCATAGACGTATAGCTCAGTCATCATATCCTAGGTCCATAGACATATCCTAGATCCATAGACGTATAGCTCAGTCATCATATCCTAGATCCATAGACGTATAGCTCAGTCATCATATCCTAGATCCATAGACGTATAGCTCAGTAGTCATATCCTAGATCCATAGACATATAGCTCAGTCATCATATCCTAGATCCATAGACCGTATAGCTCAGTAGTCATATCCTAGATCTATAGACATATCCTAGATCCATAGACATATAGCTCAGTAGTCATATCCTAGATCCATAGACGTATAGCTCAGTCATCATATCCTAGATCCATAGACATATCATAGCTCAGTAGTCCTATCCTAGATCCATACACATATAAACTGGTGTAGTCATATCCTAGATCCATACACATATCATAGCTATGATAGCTCAGGGATCATATCATAGCTCTTTGGTCATGTCATATCTCAGGGATCATATTATAGCTCTGTGGTTATGTCATAGCTCAGGGATCATATCATAGCTCAGAGGTCATGTCATGGCTCAGAGGTCATGTCATAGCTCATATCATAGCTCAGAGGTCATGTCATATTTCAGGGATCATATCATGGCTCAGAGATCATGTCATAGCTCTGTGGTCATGTCATGGCTCAGAGATCATGTCATAGCTCCATGGACATGTTATAGCTCGGTGATCGCTCATAGCTCTGTGGTTATGTCATAGCTCTGTGATCGCTCATAGCTCAGTAGTCCAGCCCCATAGTCATCTTAAGGCTTGTACGTTTTACCATGCTCCATTGTCTCATAGCTCAGTAGTCCAGCCCCATAGTCATCTTAAGGCTTGTACGTTTTACCATGGCTCCATTGTCTCATAGCTCAGTAGTCCAGCCCCATAGTCATCTTAAGGCTTGTACATTTTACCATGGCTCCATTGTCTCATAGCTCAGTAGTCCAGCCCCATAGTCATCTTAAGGCTTGTACGTTTTACCATGCTCCATTGTCTCATAGCTCAGTAGTCCAGCCCCATAGTCATCTTAAGGCTTGTACGTTTTACCATGCTCCATTGTCTCATAGCTCAGTAGTCCAGCCCCATAGTCATCTTAAGGCTTGTACGTTTTACCATGCTCCATTGTCTCATAGCTCAGTAGTCCAGCCCCATAGTCGTCTTGAGGCTTGTACGTTTTACCATGGCTCGGGTTCTGTATTTTGATGCAGTGGAGTGAAATATATGGATTTTATAAATTACAGTTTCCTGTCTGTAACTGACCACTGAATACTGTGGCCTTGATTAATTTTGGTGTTAAACTCCCTCGTTTCATAATTACCTCCATTGTTTCCTAGGATGACCACAGATACAAATCACATTCATCTGGATGACTTCCTTATGGGCGACATGGACTACAATTACCCTGATGACTTTGGCCAGATCAATGTGAATGAGCTTCTGACCAATAGCCAACTTGTCAATACCTGAACCAGCACTACAGGTGAGGAGCAACAACATGCTTAGCCCTGAGGAGGTGGTGTGTGTGTGTGCATCAAGACTTCCACTTGAGATAAGGACTGTCCAGGAACTTGACAGCTTTTAATCCAGTCTGAAGACTCAGTTGTTCAGGACAACATTCATAGTCCACAAGTCTTTGTGACATCTAATATTTCAGTTTGCTCAGATTCTTCAGCACTTTTGAGCAGTATATAAATCCATATAAATGTAGCTGCCATTGCTGAGTGCGGCGTAAAACTAAAACTAAACTCCTGATACAAGCAAAACACAAATTTATGTTTTGTGATGAACCATTTTTTGTACAACCATATTGAAAAAGCGTCTATCTCTTCCAGGTGACTGTGGTGGACTGAGTACCAAGTACACTTCAGCTTGTCACAGAGTGATCTCCCTTGAAACAGTTTTCCGCCTCCATCTTTGATTCATCCTTTAACCAACCACATGTTCAGTTGTACTTGTTTCCCTCTGGATCTTGCCTCTTGTACTACAGCTCATACTAACGTTCAAGTGGACGTTCATCGTCCTGCCTACATTGGGGCAGAATACAAACACAACAGCTAGTTTGTTTTCCATTGTACATAGGAATTGCAATCTTGTAATGAAAGGGTAAGAAGATGACAACTTAGCGTGCAGGCCTGTCTGTTGAATCAGAGAATGTGTCTAGCCTCCGGTTGAATGCACATTATATAATATTTGGTGATCAAGAGGATCTGAATTATGCCATAGACAGACATATTTCAGTAGTAATTGTCATCCTATGTGTCAAAACATGTTTGAGGCTTTCTTTCATGTAGAAATAACAATTGTTCACATCCTTTTAATCAAGAAAATGATCTTTGTTTAAAGCTTTGAGTGAGACGAAAGATCCATCTCAAGGTTAGAGGACTTCAATAGACAATATTCATGAGGCACACACTCACATATCCTATTGTATTGTACATACAGGATCATTGATTGTTGCTGACGTGGCAGAATCACTTCATGATCAATATCCATGTAGTTAATGCTTTTGTTTGGCTGATGTGTGTATAGACACTATGTCATCTAATGATGTAGCTTGTTCATCAGTGTAAATGTATAGTCAACTCGAGTCTCCAGTTCATGAAAGGGGACATCTGGTTCAGAATGGCAAAACCCGGCTAAAACCGGAAAGTTTGCTTCATGAATTGTAAAATACATGTTTTGTTATGCCAAATTCACTAACAGTCGTTAAATTGAAAATGTTCCTATTCTTTGTTTATTTTCATTTTGTCCAGAAATCAGGCTTTGGAGTTTCCAGTATGCAGTTTAGTAAACAAAAGCCTACAAATATTTTTATCATGCTTTTTTGACATTTTAAAAACAATGGTTTTCATCCGTTCATATATATTCACACACTCATCTCATTTGGATTGTTTTGCACTTGCTTGAGATCTGGAAGCAAGCAGAGTGCTCTCCCTTGTTACAGTGTAATTGTTTTGTTCATTCACTTTGTTTATATTTGCTGCATGCTGTTAAACAAGCTTACATGTTGTAATTAAATGCCATTATCTTTAGTTCTTATTATTCATCAATGTGTTTTGCATATCAGCACTGTCAGACTGTTACTAGGCAACAGTTATTTCTCATTCCAAGATTCGCAGATCTTGTCATCAGCGTGAAATAGTAAGTCGATAATGAATCTGACATTATGAAAATGAAAATATTAATTTGACTATGAAAATGAAAATATTGATTTGGCTAGCATGCCAAAAAAGTTTTTTAAGTACCACATGTTCGTTGAGAAAATATATCTGTAACCTTCACTGTTTTATATTCAGTTGTGCATAATTATTGATTGATTGTTGATATATCAATATCATTCCTGTTGGCTATTATGTGTGTACATCATGTAGAGCCATTCGTTGCTGTATATGGTCATGGATGGCGGGACACATGCATATTGTATATTAAACTGGTCAGCAACAACAGTTTTGAATGCAATTCAATTATTATCTTTGTAAAACAACATCTTCGGATTAGTTTTATGAAATAGTATCTGTTAATGTATATGCATGTTAACTAAACACAGGCTCCATCATGTGACATAACCTTGATATTTTAGTAGAAACAAGAAAGAATGTACATTTTTATATAGGTGTTGTCTTAATGTGTTGGCTATAGGATCTCCAATTCTAATTGTGGGCTGACTCGACATATTTTTGCCATTTTGATTACCATTTTTATTTGTGTGCCAGCACTGTTTGTTATTTTGTTATCCCAATTACACAGACAATGTGACATCATGTGGTGGGTGCAGTCATATTTCACTATGGATTCCAGCTGGGCCTGGAAACGCATGAGAATACAACAATGTGAGCCAGATACCTGTAACTGAGTGCCCCCTGGTCACTAACCTCAATGTCACCTGGGTCTCTAGGAGGGACTATATGTAAGAGCATCCACAGGTATCATGAGACTCCATTACCATCAGATCCACATGTAAATGACAAATTTCGTCATTTCTCAATCAGAATAAAATTGTATATACCCAGTTCTTGTAAAGGATGCAATAGGTCATTTTCCAGATGGACTATTGTGTTGTACAAGCTTGTGCAAGGTGTATGGATTACAGTGAACTGACTTCTCCAGTGCTGTGTGAGGAGTCAGGTTGGCGGCATCTGTGGAGGTGCAGAGTTGTCTCCCTTGTTTCGACTTGATTCCCACTGTGTCACTGATTTTATCTTGCTTTAAGTTTTATCCTTTAGCATGCTTTTTAGCCAAGCAAGCATGTGTTTGTTTCTCACAAGCTGGTATGGTAACATGCCTACTGACTCCTATATGTTTCAACATCTCAGTATTTGCATGTAATGCAGCGGGGTATGTTGTCAGTATAGATGAGCAGAGATAACGTTGTTATTGGATACTTTCATATCGAATTAGGAGTTTGGAGTTGAAGAATGTGAATTGTTTGTAAAATATGCTTTTGACCTATCTTGTAATTGGTCAGTGCTTAGATGTTGAGTATGGCACACATACTCCAGGTTACAATTAAACTGTCCATCAGGAATTTGTGCTGCTCTGCTACGGTAACCATGGTAATGATATGGTTTGACATTATAGCGGACTTAAGCTTGGGGTGCAGAGAGAAACAGCACTGTGATATTTGATGATGTGACAACCCTATTGACTTGTACCTATTAAATAAAAATTTGGAAAAAAAAGAGCAAATTCCTTGATCTATTGTAAATGGGAATGGGATGGTATAACACCATCCAGATATTTCCCACATCGAGGAGTGAGTGAGTTTAGTTTTACGCCGCTTTTAGCAACATTCCAGCAATATCACGGCGGGGGACACCAGAAATAGGCTTCACACATTGTGCCCATGTGGGGAATCGAACCTGGGTCTTCAGTGTTATGAGCGAACGCTTTAACTACTAGGCTACCCCACCGCCCCGCCACATCGAGGAACAAGACTCATGGCCGAAGGCATGGAATCCTGAACATGCACTGTTCACAGAAAGGCTGCTGGATTTCGAGCAAATTCGTCCGACACATGGACAAAGATGTTACCTAGATATTGCCGAGAGCGTTTATTGTTGTGTAGAGTGCATCAGAACTTGTGATCATGGAGGAAAGTTTATTGTTCAGACAAAAGTCAATTCCTCTTTGATATGACTTTTTACTATCAACATGTCTTCAGATGTCATAACATGACATAATATAATCAGAACATTCATCCCATAGGACCATTTGCCGGTGGTTTTGTCAAGGTGTGGCGCGGTTTGTCATATATGATTCTAAACTGGATTTGATAACAGTCGGAGGTACCCAGAACAGGGACAGGTATCTAACAAATATCCTTCACCATCTTGACAACCACCTACTAGGTCCTCGTCTTTATGGATCCTGTAAAAGTCTAGTTATAATTGACCTTCCAAAATGTCATTGACACTTTGAACCAGGCTGTGGGACCAGTTTCAATGAAGAACCATCCTGCTCAAACCATTCAAGAACTGAATAGAATAACATCCCCCCAAGGATACAACGTTTTGATAGCTTCCTAGAGCAGGTGAATACTGTACAAACTCCAGCTGGCGTCGGAGAGAAGGTTGGTGATACCTTGGCCTTGTAGCACCAATGATGTTAAATGCTTGGTATGAAGAGGATAAGACATGAACCATGTCCATATTGATCTGATCAAGCATGATAAAACCAGCATTAGTGAGTACAAACAGCTGCATACGCACACACGCCAATATGAACTATACAAGTGCGACAGTCATGTAAACGATGCTGAGGCTCTTTTCACCAAAAGTGAAGTTAAAACATGAAACAATGATCATTGTAACTGTACTTTATTTTCAGAATCAAGTACATGAGATTTGAACAAGACTTAACAAAAACATTAAAAAAAACAGAATATTTCCCACAAGAACAGGTTCTCATCCTTCCATACTGAGAGTAACAAAAGTCAAGAATATTGTTTGCCACATGTTATTTACAATATAATATGACTCTAAGGCAAATGAAATGGCCATTGGATAAATTACTTGATTCTCATTCCAAAAAGTGCATACACTTCAAATGTTAGTTGAACTAAATGCATAAGAGGTAATGTCGGTGCTGTCTGGAACTGCATCAGTCAACAATTAAATCAAATTTAACAAAATGTGTATCAGAATCCCTGCACAAAATTAGATCAATTCAATAATTTCAGATGGATGTTTGATTAGTGGGTGAGTCAGAGGAACTGTCCATTTTCATATATGGACAGCATAAATTCAAAAACAGAACCTGAAACTGGAAAATCACAACTTCATATACTTAAATGTTATGTATAATCACAGTGAAGTATTTGTTAGATTTTCATTTCAAATATTGTAATTCCATTTTGTCCATAAATGCTGAAAGCTTGTTATTGTAAACTCAAAATCAATGTTGAGATCTTATTTCTTCAACATACCTTGTATCCCGCATGGGAGGGAAAAAAATATATGATTAGACAGGGTGAAATAATTCTTTATACCCCATCACAAAGGAAACAAGCAGCACATGGATTTCCGAGTGGAAGAATAAATCCTTTATACTGCCCCCTGCACTTTGTTTACTAGTCAATGAAAGTCACACGACACAACACCAGTAAACTTCAGCTCAGTGGAACAGCTTTTTTCTATCAATTTTCAATAAGCTTCAGTTTTTTCACAATGGCAAATTGGAACATGTTGGCAAGATAAATTCATCATAGCAATGTCAAGAGTAGATATGCAGTTTTATGTGCCTCATGTTAGGTTGTATACAAGGGCTGAGTGGCTTAACACCCAACAAGGGATGACCACGACCACATGTACCCCTCTTGATACTGTTACAACTTGTGTTTTTGTGGAAACTGTGGGTCTCATTGAGACTGAAGCAACCTTTGGCAGAGATTCCTTTTTGATTTTAGTTAATAGAATTCCAGTTAAGAACCACCTGATCCTTTCATTCTGTTTTCTGTTACTATAGTTACTGTCACCATGTTACAGATTAGGTACAGTAATATGAAAGAATTGGGAGGTCCCTTACTGTTCTTGGAAGCATAAATTCAAGAGGGGCAACTAATCTTCAAAATATGATGTCCTCGGGTGAGAATCTCACAAATGATCTATTATGATCTTAAACAGTTTTCAAATTGATGTTTTTGACTCCATATTGGTCTTTATGCCAAAACATATCACATAGCACTTGTATGATTATAGGAAAAAGATGCCCACTGAAAATAGGCACAATAAAATTTGCTGATAAAATCGGTATCACACAGCAAACATGGCCCTACACTTTACTTCCTGATATTTTGATTTGGCATTAGAGAATGTTTGCTGTGATTTGATTGGCTACATAATGTTCTAACTTATCCATCATCAACATACGAATGTCAACATATATGACGATTGAAGCACTTTAATCACACTAACGGAAGAAACACCCACTAACCACAAATTTGAATTTATGTTCACTTGAAGGGAGGTAAGTTTATAAACTCCAATATGATTCTACCACTACTCAGTTTAAAACTGATTTCTGAAGATTTCATCTTACAATGTAGAATTATTCCAGGATATACAACTATCAACAACAGACAAACACTTTGTGGAATGTAATGTTTTTTGTTGCTTCAACTATTTCACAGTGTATATATATAATATATATATCATGACGATCTGGGGGCACATGGCTTCTTCATAAACAACGTATTCATACACTTCCATACCTGATCACGGGAGTAGAAGACAACTATCACATACCAAAAGCAATAGAGACGGTTTTGTCTGAAGAATTAGCTTTAAGCCCAATATGACGACATGAAAATCTTTGTTTGAACAGTTTTGAATCTTCAGTGTTAAATTTGACTGATTCTGTCTTCAGCTTTACCTGTATTGTTCAGTGTTGATATGTTGGGAATATAGGCATTTATCACTCCACATAACACTCAAAATGTTCACCTACATAAAGTCAATATAGTAAACATGGTTGAGATGAAATATGTTCCAGTTTCTTGGACCCGTGTTTAGTTGTTACTGCTGTCGAAATCATTATATCCAAGACCCCTGTCATCACAGCTGGTTCCAGCAGATTCGGAGGTTCTCTGATCCATGAACTGAATGCGTGCTTTATGCTGCTGTTAGAAATTGTTTAGCAATATCACCAGAAATAGAGACAAAAAATAGTTTCTCACACTATGCATGTGGGCCACCACTGTTAGACCACTGAAAACAATGGCTTATCCCTTCTGTCTCTATTTAAACATATTTAAGTGTTTTGACGTGGAAAGGTCTTAGCTTTTGTTATGAAGTGATATTAGCCTATATGTCACAAATGCTTATTTGATACAAAATCCTGTCTAGAAACATAAATTGGAAGCTAAAGTGACAAGATGTGTCTATCTTTGCTTCTTGGTATTGGTGATAGTGTGAGACATCCTAGTTCTAGTCCTAGGTCACTGTTTCAGTAGTATTCACCAATCAATTATGTCAGAGTGTAATCACTGTGGGGAGACCATAGTATTGAGTATATCTGTTTCTTCAAAACACCAGAAACGCTTCCCATATTTCATCTAGGACAAAGCCATGAAAATCAAAAGATAAGCGCAAAGCAAGTTTTCAGTCTTAAATAAATAAAGCTAATGTATTCAGAATGTTTCAAGTTTTGACACTTCTCCTGTTTATTTTCCTTAATTACGCTTAGAATGATAAATGTTGTGTCATGATTATTAATCAAATCTTCCTTAGCCAGACAAATGTACTTTTCTTACTATTTTGAAAAAAAATCCCATTGTTTGCCAGAAGACAAAGAGATCAGTCTGCTAAAGACACCAAAAAAGTTTGGTTGAATAATCGGAACCATATTTTTGCATCTCATCAAAATAAATCATAATGCTGTCTGGTCATAAACTCTTATTTCCGCAAACCCATGTAGATTTGGCTCGGTACGTCTACGAGAGCAGTGAGAGGGTCAAGAAGATGGATGGTATGACACAAAGTGACATCATCCAAGCTACAAAACCCCCATGATAACTGCGATAGACAGCCAAAAGTATTTCAACTGGAGTCAGTGTCAAACAGGAAACAATTCACTATTACAAATCTCTTCTTGTAATATTCATGAAAATAACTACATTGAAACTGAATACCCTCAAAATTCAAATTAACATCAGCAATAACATAGTTGATATGAACATGAGTGATAAATGGCTTTTCTGCTCTTGTGAATTCAATTCCATTCTGTGTAAATGTCCTGATCTCTTCAGATTAGAAAAATTGCATGTTTGCGTCTTTTTTCAGGACACCAGAAGAGTACTTTTTAACACCTGAATGTTTTTTTGAGATTCTCGAGTACTGTTGAGTCAGTTTCTAAGGCTACAACTCACAACTTCTTAAGTTCACTGACATCTTTCTGGATTTTCCCACTTTTACAACTATTTTACAAAATCAGTCAATACTTTCCAGAATTCAAATTTAGATAATAAATACCATTTTCAGTTTAATTGTTTCCATGTTTTCTCCCCATGCATAATTTCAGTGCTGTAGTTTGACTGTTCGTGAAAATGGCCAAATATTATTCCATTGTCTACTATACATGTGATAGAGTGTATAAGAGAAGCATGAAATAGAACAAGACAACTCTGCTACAAGAAAATCTCTTGGAAACAGTTGTTGCTACAACACTGGAGTGAACAGACCAACAGGAAGGAAGGCCATAATTTGAACCATGATTTTTTGTCTCGATTCTGCTTGCTCGGCCAAGCTAACTACATGATCTCAATAATGAAAATAAATAACTATGTACAACGGCAAGACAAAAACTGTCTGTTTCTCCAAATAAATACATGACAACACATTGCACGACGCACATACGCATGTATGCCCAGAGCAGGACAAGTTCTCCATTGCAGAGGAGAGACGTGAGGAAGCCACAAGCAGCAGCAACCGTAACCATGGAAACAGAACCTCAATATCTCTGTCAATTTTCTCTATTAATATTAAATGTCTCAAAATGATATATTTTTTGGTTTACATTCAAATCTTTGTATTGTCAGTTTGGATACATTTTGTTTCTCTTATACAAGTATTTGTATCTCTCAATTCATTCCTTAGTGTTGTGTTTCAATTTTGATCCCTCTCTTTTCCATGCATCTCAGATATTTTGTGAAGACATAAACTTTCAGTTGGAAATGACTGTACCACCTTTAAACTGATTTGAAACCCCTATGTAGAATAGTATTTACCTGAAAACATATTTCATGGTATTGGATTTCGGTATCATGTTTCCCCTAACACTGTTAGTATATAATGAATTATCTAGTCAAAATTTTTATCACAATGATAATTAAAAATATTTTATAAGTGTTAGGTTGGTAATAGCATAGATGAAGGTACTGTTTCCATGGTAACTAATGAGTTTGGCAACAGATGGTGAAGGCTTGTACAACTTTTCAAATTGTAACGCTGGAAGCGAAAATGTCTGAATAATAATAAAGCCACTGATGACAATGATCTCGACTCCATCACAGGAGAGGCAACTTGTACAGAAACAGCATTGGGTGATTGGCTAATATCTACGCCTTCCTGTCAGAGTTGTCTCCCCTTAGATTTAGTGTCTCCCAGGAGTCAAAGGTGACAAAATAAAGTTAAACAGCGGTCTGTTCGACGGACCAATCACAAACTGAGTACAACAGTCTCGCCAAGAATCTGACCAATCAGAAACAAGTCTTGGACTTGGTTGAAAAAAAGTACCTATGCTGATCTGAGGATGTACTAGTCACATTCTTGGCGAAAACAACGTGACATTTCAATGTAGATTTCACAGAATTGCTTTTCCAGCTTTCACATACGACACACACATTCACAGATAATTTTAACGCCACAGCCATCATATTGTCTTGCAAGAAGCGTATGTCAGTCCCCATTTTGCAGAGGTTCAGAAATTTCGTTTCTGATTCCGTTGTGATTCGGCCGAGCTATGTAGCCCTTCTTGCCTTGTATGGAATCATCATCATCGTCGTCGTCGCTTTCTTCACTTGAAGTGGACTGCAGGGAATTTTGCTGGGATGTATCGAAGCCAGCAGACTTTGGAGCTTGAGCAATGTCCGCCTCGTTATTGTTATGCTGAAGTTTCACATCCGATGACAAATCATCTTTTTCCCTTTTCCCATTCCTCTCTTCAAGAAGGGTTTCAGAGTCAGAATGTTTTCTCTTCCGTACATTCTGCCCACAATCACTCGCAGTGTCTGACATTTCTGAATCTGAATCTTGACCATTTTCTTTGGGAATTTTTCTAGATTTCAGTTCCTTTAACTCCTCTGCAAAATCAGCCATGCCGTACTGTTGAGCAATTCTCAAACCCTCGTCAAACAAGGTCTCTTGCATGAACTTTTGAGCAGTTGAAGAACGGAAGTTTGCTGCATAAACTGCTACTTTTGTAAAGTCCAGTTCAGTTCCGTCTTGTGAGTTCATCGGGGAAGAGTTGCCACTTGGAAAGTTGGAAGAATCTGAAGTAAAACATACATTTTAAAATGAGGCCTTGCATGAGTATTTACAAAATGGACACAGTGAGGTGAAGTAGGACTTAAAGATTATTACACTTGGTCATGCAGATAACAACTGAGACTAAGATCGCCAGAGCAATATTCCTTCGATATGGCAGGCAGGGCAAGTAATGGTACAAGAGTGAAAGACCTGGGTGTCATTGTACAAAGCTAAGGTGATCCTAACTCCCATATCTTAACATTGACTTACGACCGTCGTAGCGCTATGGTTGTTTTGTACAGAGGCACCATAATAATGAGAAAATGACTGTGAAACCTATAAGTTCTTGGGCAATAGAAATGAATGGGTAACTGATCAAAAAGTCCATTACATTGACAGTGAATATTCTATGTGAAAACTTGGAAACTGTGAAAAAGGTGTAGTTACCATGATAAACAGATCTACCTACAAATCTGGGAAAATGTGAATGTGATTTAGTTACCATGATAAACAGATCTACCTACAAATCTGGGAAAATGTGAATGTGATTTAGTTACCATGATAAACAGATCTACCTACATATCTGGGAAAATGTGAATGTGATTTAGTTACCATGATCAACAGATCTACCTACAAATCTGGGAAAATGTGAATGTGATTTAGTTACCATGATAAACAGATCTACCTACAAATGAATGTGATTTATCTACCTAAACAGGGAAAATGTGAATGTGATTTAGTTACCATGATAAACAGATCTACCTACAAATCTTGGAAACTGTGAATGTGATTTGCACATTTTCATTGTGAAGATCATTTCAGATACAGTTGACATATTTAATACATCCAAACCACCTTAGTGTCAAACATGAAATTAACATATTATAGAATACATCCCCCGACAGATGTGGCATAACTGTCCATTTTATGAAGGTTTCTGTACTAATAGGTTCCCACTGTATTCAAACTATGATTACAAGTCTGATATGTGTACTTATAAACAAGTAACCATGGTTTCCATCGTGTACAACTCACCTGTGAAATCATCGTCGCCATACTGCCCGCATGGCCTTTCTGGTTTCGTCATAAGATACCTGTGAAACAAAAATCAATTTTCATTATGAGTAATATAATTAGTGATTAACGATCTCAGCACTCGAAGTCGATCATGATGAAGACAGTAATTATGCAACTAATTTGTTTAAGTATTGAGATCAATGTCTCAGCCTTCAATACAAATTTGAGACTGATTGTTTTAAATTGGCAAAAAAAGATCACTTTATCAAAACAATATTTGTAGACTGATGAAATTCTCATTTTACCAATGGTATAAACTAATGAAACACTCAAAAACATATCATATCATAATTATGAATAGTTATTATAGCAACATAATACTTATTTAAAACAAATTATTGTTCAGTTCTTTGAAAGTAAAGTTCTCTAAACATTTATTGCCCGATATTTTTAAGAAATACATTTTTCATTAATGTTTTTACATGATCGACGTCGAGATGAACTATTAGATGATATTACTTGTTTCAAAATACCTCTTCTAAACTTAGAAAGAAATATATTACATCTGATATGAAATGATATTTATGATCTTGTTCACAGAAATATCAAAGGTCTAATAAACCAGAATCAAACACTGATTCGAGTTTCTCAGACGTCATATATTGTAGTTAGCAATTATTTTCTTGTGACAAAACTGTCTGAACACTAGCAATATGGCACTCTCAGAAAATATCTCAAAAACAAAATGTTTTCAAACATTAGCAGCATGAGCTATAAGACAAAAAACATGAAACTCTGAAAATGAATAAAGTGGAATTACATTGACATGGCTTTGATCAACATGATTCATATATTGGAATCAAAGTCTCTTAAGTGCATTACCATTTCATGGGCTAAAAATAATCTATATCAGTATAAGAAAAAAACTTTTCTGGAAAATTGGATTGTACTGAATATCACAGTCTTACAGCAATTTCAAGCTTTTATGTCTGGGTTACGTGGTGGGGCAACCTAGTTGGTTAAGCGTTCGCTTGTCACACAGAAGAGCTGGGTTGATTCCTCAACTAGGATACCATGTGTGAAGCCCATTTTTGATGTCTCCAGCTGTGATATTGCTAAAAGCAGCATAAAACCTTATTCCCTCAATAAGTTTGGGGGAGACAATCTTGGGGAGGACAGCAACAGCAATGGCAGGAAATCAGCCTTCTATGGATAATGACTTATCATGTTTTGATGGCAAGTACATCCATGACAAGGAAATTTACTGTTAAAAAGCAGCCATTGTGCCGATATAATTTTGACTGCAGGAAGTAGATTTGTGGGAGATGAAAGGCAATGGAGCCAGTGAGATTACCATTAGACTTACAGTCACTATACTCAAAGTGCAAAAAGGTGACAGCCCACTGGCCTGCTCAGTCAACTGGCCAATCAGATGTCTAAAATCTTTCATAATGCATTACATGATGTCAACTGCACCCACCTTTCTGAACGCTTCTGTTTACGAAGAATCTCGCCTTGTTCTGTAAGAAGAGCGAGTTGCTGGGCTGTCAATGTCTCTAGTTCCTGCTGGAGCTTCTGCACTAGAGTGCTGTTTTGTGTGTCACGGGCTGTTACAATCTCAGTTTTTATGGCCTCTTGTCGATCCTTAATTCGTTTCATGTCCTGGTTGATGCAATTCATTCTCTCCTGCAAAATACAAACAAACAGCATTGAGAGTAAACTTGTAGAATGTTGAATGTGGAAGTTAGTTGATTGCTAACTCAACAATGTTGGCAACAAAGTGGCTGTCAGTTGACAGTCAACTGCAAGATTGTTCAAGCCAGCTCTGATAGCCAGTTGACAGACAGTCAACTGCCATATTGTTCAAGTGAGTGAGTGAGTGAGTTTAGTTTTACATGCACTCATTCCAGCTATATGGTGGCGGTCTGTAAATAATTGAGTCTGGACCAGACAATCCAGTGATCAACAGCATGAGCATTGATCTGCGCAATAGGGAACCAATGACATGTGTCAGCCAAGCTTGACCACCCGATCCCGTTAGTCGCCTCTTACGACAAGCATGCAAGATTGTTCAAGCCAGCTCTGATAGCCAGTTGACAGACCATCAACTGCAAGAATGTCAAAGCTAGTGTGGTCAATCAGTTGACAGTTGACTCAAAGAAAGTCAAAGCCAATTTCAGAAAAGTCTTGTTGGATGGGAGATACAAATCTTTAATCATTCATTTATTAAATACCTGACAGAATACAATGTTATCATGATACATAAGATCTTGTAAGACTGACAAAGTGAGCGAGTATGGTTTTACGCCACTTTTAGCAACCAGAAATGGGTTTCACACATTGTACCCATGTGGGCAATTGAACCCGGGCCTTCGGTGTTACAAGCCAACGCTTTAACCAGAAAAAAATTAAGCTGCTGTTAAAGGGGAATAACTCTCACCTCTCTATGAATCTTGTCAAGCTCTGCTTTCACTGTTTTGGGGTTGGCGTCGTGCATTCTCTGGAAAACAGGATCAACTCGTGGCTTCTTTGACACAACTACATCGGCAGCCCTAAGAAGGAGTATTTAGACATGCATCAACCGTCTCGTCACCGGTTGGCCTCCATTAGGCTAATCCATCGGCCATATTGGCAGTGGTCAAATAAACACTACTGTCACTGTCAAGTTTCCTTTCACAGGCTTTCACTCAGACAATGTTTTTCACTCAATGAAACTATTATAACATATCAAATATGAAAATGAAACTATTGTCTTATGTCGTTGGCTGAACTAGAATAAATAATATATATATTACATTTTTCAGATATTCAGTTTTCAGGAAGGCCCAGCTAGTCTGAAACTAGAGGCAAATGTTTAAGGTTCAGTTCTGGTCTCCCAAATGCAAATTGAATCAATATACACAGCCTGAAAGGAAGTGAAGCGATGTAGCTCATGTTACTGTAATCATAATGATCATTTCAAATTTTATTCATAGTCATTTTCTAGTGAAGTGATTTACATTACAGGAGCATCTCTGTGACAAAATGACCCAAAATGACCCAAACTTATGGTATAGCAAAAACAGCAAGAAATTACCCATCTACATAATTACTGAAAAATAATTTACTGAGTAAATCACCATAAAGAACAGATATGTGATCTACAGACTAGACACTTCTTTGCATTAAATTCAATGCATCAACGAACTAATAATTTCAATTCAATGTATCCTCATGTATATTTCAAATGACCTAAAGATCATAAAAGCCATTATGAAAGCAAACTTGAAATTGATATCAGTGAGCGTTATTTGACCTCCACTAAAGATTGTCGTCCCATACCAAAATGATATCTTTGAAAATGAAAAATTCACACTTTATGTCGTTACATGCATTCCAAAACATAAAGAGATCTTGCAAAATTTTCATTCTCCTTTTGGATTGAAATATTGAAGAATGAAAGAAAATTGAACGAAAAATAGAATGGAAAAAAGAGTGCATACACAGAAAAGTATCCAATGGATTAACTCCATATAACAATGACATAGAACATTGCTACAGTTAAGGATATTATTCATTCTTTAGGCACAGTTAGTTTCTGACAGTTTGGAACTGATAAAATTCCAAGTTTGAAAATCGTCAAGGGAGATAACTTATTCGGAAGGGAGACAACTCTGTATCAATGCACAGTCTATTCCACTCAGAGCTGCTATGTAGTGTGTGAGAAAACAAAAACAAATGAAACATGATGCAAGCTAATAACCTTTGACCGACATTCGGAGATTTTTCAGTTATTGAGCAATTTTCACTAAATGATAAAATATCAAAATACTTGAATATGTGCATCTCCAATTTTGAATGCAGTTCGACTAAGACATGCTTGTATGCCATTCTTAGATTAGTTCCAAAACCATCCAGTTTATAAGAACTGAACAGCCGTGATATATTTATTCTTTCTACGATGATATAGCGTGCAGTTGTAAAGTTAGTTGGGTGCTATCAACAGAGGAGGTTAGTGAAGACATTCACGACATATGTATGTCAATCAAGGCCCCAGTGGTTTATGATTATGTAATTATAATGAAATATGACATTATTCTGAAATTCAATGCACAATTACCGCAAATGACCCCAACATTAACAAAACAATACCTCATACTGCAACCGATATCAAATAAAGGCAAAATCATGACAGTATTACAGATTAAAATCGAGACATGAAGAAGATATAAGCAGGTACCAAACTCAAATGTTTAAGCGAAAGTTAACCACGAAAACAGTAAGAACACATTAAACAAAGCTGCTCCATAAGGAATAGCTGCTCAAGGAGAATGTCTCATGCATATGTGAGAGAGAAGAATTTGACTGGCCCATCCATCCCAGTATTCAAATAGTGTAGGAGTGTTCCACTTACTTTAACTCTCTAGGGTCCAATATTTCACTCTTCACAACACTGAAAAGTTCGGAAATAGAGCTCAGTCTCGGCTAAGGAAAACAGAGTTACACAATTTACAAAACACAATATATCCCCCAAAATTTCACCCCACATTTGACATGAATGTGAACAATTTCATAACAAGAGCCAATGACTGTAAATTCTTGGGTTTTTTGAAAGGGAAATTTTAGGACAGCAAATTTATGTAAACAGACAAATGTTATGCTTGCAGTGTTCCAACACTTACTGAAATGGTACACCATAACAATTGGGTGGATTGGCTCCACTGACAGTGTAAAGAAAATGACCCTTGAAACATATTTGGAAGTGCCCATACACGTAGATTGTGTGAAGACAAATAGCATTGATCTAGTACCTTAACGATTAACTTCAATCAAAGCAACTGAAGCATGATGCATCCTTAGAACATCATTCTATTTCCGTTAAAACATCTCACACAAATCTCTAAAGTCGGTCAAAAGTTTGAACTGAGTACTACGGAGTAAGTTAAAATAGACAACATCTATTTCCAGTTGAAAAATTATTAACCAGCTCTCATATTCAATCAGCTATGACAATGTGTCAAAACCACAAACAACATACTTGTTGGTTGTGCCAATTGTGGAATTGTACATGAAAAGAAATTCAGTTATGTAGATATCTGGAATAATAAACATTCCACTTAACATAAAAATGATAAGTATCTACACTTATACTATAACAGCACACGTTTCTATGGCTACATTGACTAGATATTTTATTACTACAGAATTATCTCCCCTGAATAACATTTGATACCTGATTCAGGATCAATGCAAAATCAAGAAAAACAATTGATGCACGCATTCTTGACAATTGTTCTTGATATCCGGAGAAAGTTGTATTAACCAAATTTAGTGAATAAACAGACAGGAAAAACTAAAACCATAAATATATAAAATAACTTTCCTTAAAAGCCAGCAATTACATTTCTAACACAGACCTATGAAAAGAATTGTCTTTGAAATGATGAACCAATGAAGATTGTTCTTCTACAAAGATGAAAATATTCAGGGGAGATAACTAGGAATACTTCCAAAAGATAAAGAGACATCTCATGCTAATTACCTGGAATGCCCTTTTGAATATTGGTAACCACTGTCACGAACAACTTGTCTTGCCAGTGGAAATAAGTCTTCTACTACGAGTCAGTAATGTAGGTATATGGCGACATAACTGGGCAGCGGCCTCATTAACCGAAATCTGAAAAGACAAAAGACTGTGTCACTGTTTGATCCAGTGAATGAGTAAATGAATGTGTTACACCACAGCACGATTCCAGGCACTTGCACTGCACACTAATGTGGAGACTGGGGACCTTTCCTTCTGGAAGTGCTTACATGGAAATCAAGTGGAGACTAGGGACCTATTCTTCAGGAAGTTCTTACACAGCACCTTTGTGTGGTTACTAGGGACCTATTCTTCAGGAAGTTCTTACACAGCACCTTTGTGTGGTTACTAGGGACCTATTCTTCAGGAAGTCCTTACACAGCACCTTTGTGTGGTTACTAGGGACCTATTCTTCAGGAAGTTCTTACACAGCACCTTTGTGTGGTGACTAGGGACCTATTCTTCAGGAAGTTCTACACAGCACACAGACTAGGGACCTTTCTTCAGGAAGTTCTTACACAGCACCTTTGTGTGGTACTAGGGACCTATTCTTCAGGAAGTTCTTACACAGCACCTTTGTGTGGTTACTAGGGACCTATTCTTCAGGAAGTCCTTACACAGCACCTTTGTGGGACTAGGGACCTATTCTTCAGGAAGTCCTTACACAGCACCTTTGTGTGGTTACTAGGGACCTATTCTTCAGGAAGTTCTTACACAGCACCTTTGTGTGGTTACTAGGGACCTATTCTTCAGGAAGTTCTTACACAGTACCTTTGTGTGGTTACTAGGGACCTATTCTTCAGGAAGTTCTTACACAGCACCTTTGTGTGGTTACTAGGGACCTATTCTTCAGGAAGTTCTTACACAGCACCTTTGTGTGGTTACTAGGGACCTATTCTTCAGGAAGTTCTTACACAGCACCAGGAAGTTCTTACACAGCACCTTTGTGTGGTTACTAGGGACCTATTCTTCAGGAAGTTCTTACACAGCACCTTTGTGTGGTGACTAGGGACCTATTCTTCAGGAAGTTCTTACACAGCACCTTTGTGTGGTTACTAGGGACCTATTCTTCAGGAAGTTCTCGCTTGGCACAGTCAATTGAGAACTATATTTCAGCGCTTTTCCCCAGGAGTTGTCTCCCCTAGACTATGCTTACAATGGTGGAACCTCACCTCGTGTAATGACATCGGCCTATCGTTTTTCCTCTTGGAATCAAAGCGACCATATATGGCTGCATACTTCCTAAGTTCATCCAGTCGCGACGGGTCGTCGTCTGTCAGTTGCATCACAGACTGCAATAAAATGCATCATTCACTAATCAGTCCGGTTCTCAAAACAAAATCAAACAAGGGCAATAGATTTATACTGTGCTATATAGAGAATACTACACGAGGTCTCATTACATACGAATTATACGAAACGAGTGTCCTTCCTATGGTATCTGACAGAGCGAAAGCGAGGTCAGAAACCATAGGAAGGTCACAAGTTTCGTATAATTCGTATGTAATGAGATCGAGTGTGGTATTTTATTTATTACCCACGTCTTACATGCATTAAATAGACAAAATAGCATATTTTTGTTATTTTTATGGTTTAAATCCGAAACCGGTTTCATAAAGAGGTTGCGGGAGTATATTGTTCTGTAGTACACTTTTTGCATGACGTCACTACGCCTTGCCGTCTGCCCCCTTGGTAACCGACGTCACGATGCATGTCTGTTGTCATTACCTCATACAGCCGTGAAAGGAATTCACGTGTTTGTTATGAATGAAAAAGTAGTTAAAACCTATTTGAGAGGTCAACGGTTATCCAATCAAATTGTTAGAATCTCAGGTCAAGTCGTTACGACACAGGTCAACGCGATATGACACTTGTGTGACGTACGAGATTAGTTTGCAACTACCCATACGTTGACCACGTGGGTAATAAATTTCCATACTACACTGGGGCATGCTCAAATCGCCATATATCTATTCCATCATATCAATGGATCAATGGAAACTTGATTTTATCACTCATCTCCATGGGGAGTACAAGCTGCCTGTGAGGTGTTAGAAGCTTGTAACCATAACTTCAACCCACCAGGTACCCACATACTGCTGGCTAAACAGTCATAATTGACTTTTTCTCCTCCCTCTTTTTACCACTTAAACATTTTATGATGTTATTTATGCCGTTATGGGGTAAACTGAAAACCAAAAATTAATACCAATTCTTCCAAACCTTACAAATACATAGGTGTTTGAATATCTTCACAAACTCATGACAATCATGAGGGGTTCAGAACAAACATGATAAACATTATAAACCCCTGCAAACCTTATCAACTCAGAAGTGCACACACTTTCATCTACAGTCATCAATATTACACTTCAATAAATACAAATCCACCTAGAGAGGCATGACCACCCAAACCAACATCAATAAATATGCGACGCATTTTGTTTTGATGGTGAGTGAGTGAGTGAGTATAGTTTTACACCGGTTTTAACAATATTCCAGCTATATCACGGCGGGGGACACCAGAAATGGGCTTCACATTGTATAGATGGAAAGTCTTGCTTTTAAAATATGACAATGAACAAATAAACATATGTGGAACTTTTACTAAAGATGCTAGAAAAAACTCCTTAAGCCATGTATGCAAAGCTTTTGGCCAGTTTGATTTCAGAAAACATTCAAATTACACAGAATGTCTTTAATTAATTATGCTAAATGGAAAAGTAAGCCCATTATAAACTTGGTATTACCAACATCACCAAATGAAGTTCGAGAAAAACACCATCCCATCAGATCTGTTTAACATCCACTCTTTCATTTTTTCCAAGACAAATGGCAATAAATCACATTTTTTAAAACCTCATTAAACAGACTTCAAGAAAATTTGTTCAAAAACACGGCAAGTCTTTCTGTCATTAAATTTCGAGGAATTGCCAATTGCAAATACTGGTCAACTTTACCCAACATAATCAATAATCATGCACCGGTTACTCAAGAACTCACTTGTATTTCACGATTAATCTGTTTCTTCATATTGAGTTCTTTAGCATCAAAGGGAGGTAACTCCTTCGAGAGTTGAGCTGCAGCCTCTGCAATGGACTGAATCTGACTCTCAACGAGGACGGGTGTTGGCAAGGGGGACGAGGAATGTTGACTTGTTTGCATGGGATAACCGCACATGTTTAAACCAAGGTCGTCTTGGAGACCACTCTGAAATAAACATAGGATTAACTAATAAAAAGGTCACTGAATTATTATTATTTATTAATGGACCTTAACTAAATTCATAAAGACTTGTCAACAAGAATTTCAAGTAAAACATTGAGCGTTATTTCCATGTCATAACCAAGAGTTAACAGTTGCATTACCGCAGTTTGTAATAAATTAATCTGTGCCAGCAAAACCAGTGATTGAATGTATGAACAACATCCATTGTCCGAGTATGATGACAAATAATATGACGTCATATACTGCAAGAAACCATGAGTAGGAGTTGGTCAGAAAACCATTCGGAAATGGTGATCCCTTCTGCTCTGAATTCTTAGCCCTGAATCATTTTCAAGGTGTTTATTAACCAAAGGATGGAGTATTTCTAGTTAACTATCCTGTGTCTCATTGCCTGCTCAGACTGTAAGAAAGGTTTTTGGTCCCCTTTCGGTGAACAGTGAGTCAGGGTTTACATAGCAATCTCATCAGGGAATGGGGGACAGCAGGGAGGGAGGTACCAGAAAAGGGTTTCAGAGTGTACCAGTATGTGGAATTGAACCATGCTTTCTGTCAGCAGAGCTGGGAACAGTCCCATAAAGATCTCAGACAGCTATCAGTTTGTAGTAATCCACCTGACAGATGAAGCCATGGGGCTTTTGCATCAGTGGATCCATGACACTGCCATGACCACCTATGTCCGTCACACAACAGAAACTGTGTATGTTCAGGATCTATATTTCAAGGTGAAAACTTTTGTTTTGGTTCTGGCTTAATGCCATACTCAGCAATATTCCAGCAATATGGCGGCGATCTGTAAATTATTGAGTCCGGACCACACAATCCTGTGATCAACATCATGAGCTTTGCACTTCGCACTTTGGATACGATGCCATGTGTCAACCAAGCCAGCAAGCCTGACCACCTAACACTGTTAGTCTGCCTCTTATGACAAGCATGGGTTGCTGAAGACCAGTTCTAACCCGATCATTAAGGTTGTTAAAAACGTTTTGTAAAGAACGACCCTTTCCTGCACCGTAATGCTGCTTCACTAGGTCTAACACACACTAATTCATACATCTTCGTCCAATATTGAAGAGTGAGTGAGTGAGTTGGATTTAACACCACTTTGAAGAGTATTCTGGTAATATCAGGGCATGTCAGCTTCAGTCTGGAAGAAGGGCTGGTATTGGGTTGACAAACCAAGAAGATATAACCACCACACACCAAGATTCAAACCGACAATGATAGGTTTCTTGCAACTTCTCTGTAAATGTCAGTATCTAAAACAAACAGGGCACCCATGTAAACCTGACAAGGTTTACACAGTTGATTATATTGGTTACTGACCATCGTCACAGGTATATCCTTCATGTCACTCTGTGGAGACCCCGAGGAGGGACTGGGGGCGTCGGGGGCCGGGGCCGCTGGGCTGACACTCCGGGGGGCAGGTTGGGGGTTCCAAGTAGGAGCGTTCACCACAGATGTAGGGGGTGTGGAATGAATGTAGCCGAGGTTCTGGTCCCGCACCACCGCAGTGATACTCCCGGGGGCGGGGCTTGAAGATTGTGTTGTTCCTGGTCCCTGGAATGCACCTGTGCAGAGAGAGTTCATGAGAAGGTGTAATGAGGACATTCACTTTTACAATAGAGAGGCTTGGATTTGGAAAAAGTGGAGTCTTCAATCTTATGTCCAAAAAGATGGAGAGATATTCAGAATTCATTTTTTGTGCTTTTTTTCAAAGGCCAATTTCAAAGACTCTCCAAAATATTTAAGACACAGAATAGATGTCAAACCTGCTTTCAAATAGTTTTCTATACTGCTAGAGATCGCCTGCATTGAAAAAAACCCGTAGTCAACAATTCATAAGAATCTTTTCTGATACAAACCATCCTATTTACACATGCATCTGTTCTTTATTTTAAAAGCAAGTTATCTAAGGATTCTTGTAGTTTTCAGATATTTATCCTCCAACTACAAAATAAAGAATGCATCCATTAGCCTCTTGACTTCAAGTACTGTTCAAATCTATCCAGCAGTGCAGCTCTGTGAGTGTAAGATTGCATGAAAAGAAAATCTGTTTTACAGGGATATTTCTCTCTAATGTGAGGTAGGATTATACAGATATTTGTACTGAAAACAAAGGTGATGGGAACACTTTCTACATTTCTGTAACAAAACAAACCTCAACACACAAGTAGGCACGAGGAGTCCATTCCATAACCCAAGAAACTGACCGATATGCTGACACATGGCTTCTTATCCCAATCTTCATCAAGAGTTACCTTCTCTTGATTTCTCTAAGGTAAAGGTCACCCTTACAGCAACAGATGGCATGTGGTTTGTCTCATCAATTTCAGCCAGCATCGATATTTTGTTTGCACATTGAGGTATAAACATAAAACATAGTGCACACCTTGCATCACGCATCTACACAAAGTTTCTGCTTATATCACCAACACAAAAATACTAACATCAATTCTGAAATTGTGTGCATCTTACCTGGATTGGCTACCCATTCCTGTAGTGCCTTCTGAAGGCGTCGGACATGGAGCGGCTTGGATGCCATCCCCACCAAGGCCATAATTTCCAGAAATTCCTCCTCGCGGCCTCGCACAGCTGTTGTACATCATCACCACCTGGTTACAACACGAGTAATTAAAATAAACACACGGTTAACAATCAATAATTAAAGAATTATGTTGTTTTGCGACTAAATGACATCTGGACATAGAAATATTTAAAAAATGCATGGGACATGTTGTCACACCACACAGGGTCAAATAAGTCCAAATTTTAAATGATATCAATGGGAGTGAGTGAATGTAGTTTTATGTCAAAAAACTGTGAGAGACAAACCGATGGTTGATAGCAGTAGCATCATTCTACTGGGTTACTACCATGTTTTAACAACCACAATCACAATCACTTGGGAATGTTGAGTTGAGTGAGTGAGTGAGTGAGTGAGTGAGAGGGAGAGTTTAGTTTTATGCCACTTTTAGCAATATCCCAGCAATATCACAGCGGGGGACACCAGAAATGGGATTCACACATTGTGCGAATGTGGGGAATCGAACCCGGGACTTCGCCTTGACGAGCGAACGCTTTAACCACTAGGTTACCCCAGCACTCCTGGAAATGTTGAAATACTGGACTTTTAACAACCCCAGCAGCATTGATCCATACAGCCATTAAGTGATGATTGATTTCCAAAGGAGTGTTAACTTACAGTTAGTAATAGCTACATGCAAATAGCATACACTACTACTACAATGTCATCTAACCGGACAGGTTACTATCTGATTGTATATATCAGTTAAGTTTTTTAAAGCAGATTTTATGTTTGATCTACCTCAGTATTCCCAAGTGATAATTTACTAAGGTGCAATTCCAATGAAAGAGAGCTATAACACACAGCAATTTAAATACTTCAACACTCCTAATATGTATTTTGATGATAGTAAAATTTGGCATGTGAAAAAGCCCTTCAATGTCACTGCGTACATCAAGCTCCTTGAATCACAATTTACCTTTTCTGAATCTTAAAAAATATCTGCATCAGTCAAGCGCGCAAACACTATGAACATACACTAACTACCCAAAGTTGTTCTAGATATGACAATAGAAACTCATGGAGTTGTTTTTTTTCTTAAAAGGGGGAGTGACTGTGTTCGGTCTGGTGACCAGTGTCATGTTGTACTCAGTGTCGTGTTTGAAGCAGACATGAAACTGGGGGCAGTCAGCATAACCACTGTCTGTTACACCAACACACTTTACCCAGTGTGTTCACAGACAAAGAAGAAAGGGGTTCTTCTCTCCCTTTCTCCCTTGTGTTCATCTTCTCTACCTCTCTCCCTTGGGTTCATCCTCTTTCACTTGTGTTAATCCTCTCTTACTTGTGTTCATTATATCTCACTTGTGTTCATCCATTCTTCCTACATCTCTCGCTTGTATACATTCTTCTGCCCATTCTCTCTATGTCTCACTTGTATTCTTTCTTTCTTGTGCCCATTCTCTCTGTCTCTTGTGCCCTTTTCTCTGTCTCACTTCTCAGCCTCTTTCTTTTGTATTCTCTATCCACTTTCTTTACTTTTCATCCCTTCTTTGTGTTCATCCTCTCACTTGTGTCTATCATCCTCTCTCTCACTTGTGTCTATCCTCTCTCTCACTTGTGTTCATCCTCTCTCACTTGTGTGTCTATTCATCCTCTCTCTCTCTTGTGTTCTATCCTCTCTCTCACTTGTGTTCATCTCTCTCTCACTTGTGTTCATCCTCTCTCACTTGTGTTCATCCTCTCTCTCTCACTTGTGTCCTCTCCTCCTGTCCTCTCTCTCACTTGTGTTCATCCTCTCTCTCACTTGTGTTCATCCTCTCTCACTTGTGTTCATCTCTCTCACTTGTGTTCATCCTTCATCCTCTCACTTGTGTTCATCCTCTCTTGTCTATCTCTCTCTCTCACTCTGTCTCATCCTCTCACTTGTGTCTATCCTCTCTCTCTCACTTGTGTTCATCCTCTCTCTCACTTGTGTTCATCCTCTCTCTCACTTGTGTTCATCCTCTCTCACTTGTGTGTTCATCCTCTCTCTCACTTGTGTTCATCCTCTCTCTCACTTGTGTTCATCCTCTCTCTCACTTGTGTTCTATCCTCCTCATCCTCTCACTTGTGTCTCATCCTCTCTCTCACTTGTGTCTCATCCTCTCTCTCACTTGTGTTCATCCTCTCTCTCACTTGTGTCTATCCTCTCTCTCACTTGTGTTCATCCTCTCTCTCACTTGTATACATTCTTCTGCCCATTCTCTCTATGTCTCACTTGTATTCATTCTTTCTTCTGCCCATTCTTCTCTCTGTCTCACTTGTATTCTTTCTTTCTTGTGCCCATTCTCTCGCTCAACCTCTTTTACTTTTCATCCCTTCTCACTTGTGTCTATCCTCTCTCTCACTTGTGTCTATCCTCTCTCACTTCTCACTTGTGTCTATCACTTGTGTTCATCCTCTCTCTCTCTCACTTGTGTCTATCCTCTCTCTCACTTGTGTCTATCCTCTCTCTCACTTGTGTTCATAATCTCTCTCACTTGTGTCTATCCTCTCTCTCACTTGTGTCTATCCTCTCTCTCACTTGTGTTCATCCTCTCTCTCACTTGTGTCTAGCCTCTCTCTCACTTGTGTCTAGCCTCTCACTTGTATACATTCTTCTGCCCATTCTCTCTCTGTCTCACTTGTATTCTTTCTTTCTTGTGCCCATTCTCTCCCTCAACCTCTTTTACTTTTCATCCCTTCTCACTTGTGTCTATCCTCTCTCTCACTTGTGTCTATCCTCTCTCTCACTTGTGTCTATCCTCTCTCTCACTTGTGTCTATCCTCTCTCTCACTTGTGTTCATCTTTTCCTTCCCTCTCTCACTTCTGTTCAATCCCTTTCTCATGGTAACCTCTTTGATATTAAGGGGCAGTGGGGTAGCGTCATGGTTAAAGTGTTGGCTCCTCATGCTGAAGATCCGGGTTCAATTCCCCACATGGTTACAATGTGTGAAGCCCATTTATTGGGCCCATGATATTGCTGGAATATTGCTAAAAGCGGCATAAAACTAAACTCACTCTATGATATTAACCCTCTATTTCTTTTGATCTCTGTCATATTACACTGATCTCAAGTTCATTCTCTCATCTGCAACTTCCCCCTTCCCCCATGTTTAACCTCACTCCAGCCCGCTGTTCATGAGAACACAAAGAACTCACACGTCAAAGCAGGTGCAGGCTTTGATGTACATGGACAAGATTCAATCTGACATTCAGGATTAAAACAGTTTAAGTTACAACACCTAAACATGAATCTTTCTGATTGTAATGACATATCTTTCTGACTGCAGCAAGTATGAGAACAATAGCACTCCGCAATCAACAGCTAGTGTGCAGAAAAAAGAACACACTTTTAATGTATTTTCAAAGAAAATTCCTCACGCTTTCTACCATTCTTTTCAAAATTATTTCTAGTTTTTTGTATTCTGAAGACAAGTATCAGTCAGAGCAAAACCTTGTAATATGTTTAGAAATGGCCGTCAAGCTGAAGGACACAATAAACTAATGTCATATGAATTTGTCACCTTCTTCAGATTTAAGAATGGACATGGTCATATCAGTAAGTGAGTGAGTGAGTGAGCGAGAGATTTTATGTCATATTCAGCAACATTACAGTGACTTATTTACAGCCCTCTGTCACATACAGTAGAACATGTACAGAATGGGCTTAGAGTGAGTGAGTCTAGTTTTACACTTTTAGCAATATTCCAGCAATATCATGGCGGGGGACACCAGAAATGGGCTTCACACATTGTACCCATGTGGGGAATTGAACCCATGTTGTCAGCATGCTTTAACCACTTGGCTACCCCACCTCCCCAAGCAGCATTACAGCTGTATGATGGCAGGGTACACCAGAAACTGGCACATCACAGATTCTACAGGGCCATAAGTTGGGGTTCAAGACTCTGACCAATAATGCAACAGCAAGTCTGACAGTGATCCAAATCACTGATCCCATGTCCAAGGATGAGGTGGAGAGAGTTGTTTTGACCTGATACTCAGATGGGTTTTCACAACCACGTCAAGTAAGCAAAGATGTTTTCCTGAATCTGGAAATATTGTGAACAGCTATGTGGGCACACACCAATAACATGATTCAAGAATCTGATGGGAAATGGCTAGAGTTGACAAATTTGTAGAGTGCATCAGACACAGTTGAAGAAGTGGTGGGCTCTATCAATGTATTCCCTACTCTGGTAATAAGGAGATGAATTATGGGTGACATATTCAAATATGAAAGAAAACTGTGACAAATTATCCGACAAAGGGCCTGCTTTTTATGAAGAACTGTTCCTTGATGTTTAAGTAAGTGTATACGTCAGTTATGCGATATGATATATTCAAGTTTGTGACAAATTGGGCACGGAAGGCTAGAATGCAGAACATGGCCCTAAATAGGCTAAAGTGTGTCTCAAAGACAATAAGGTCTTTAAAATGACCCTGACGCTGCAGTAATGGTGAGAATGGAATATATGTTACATATATATTTGATAACATGATATCGTCAAGACACATAGTTTTGAGAGATCGAAAGTGAGTGAGTGAGTTTAGCTTTACGCAGCACTCAGCCATATTCCAGCTATATGGCAGTGGTCTGTAAATAATCGAGTCTGGATTAAATAATAATCAAGTTCTGTTACGACCTGTAAACTTAGTGTACATTGAAAACCTGAGAAGCGAAGCCGATCTCAGAAGTTTAAGACACTGGTCAAACCCATGAGCTATTGAGCTTGTAAACCTAGAAATATACTTGAGGCGAAATGGGATTTGAACCCATGAATTGTTTCTGGCATCCAATGGGACGATAATAAAGACAATATTCAGATTCCATTAAAATTCAGCTGGTGTCCGAGACAAGTTGTCATTCATTCATTTATTTAAAAGTGTTCTTTGACCACTTGGCCCCTAATATTGGTGTAAATTTTCTCTCTGCCACTTTAGCTCTTCAATCATTATCAGGAATAGTTCGGTTATTGAGTAGCCTTGTGGATGAGGTGTCAGATTGTTATTTTGCAGTCTTGAGTTTGATTCTGGGTAAACTATGTGAGCTCCACTTTATG